CGATCCCTCCCCACCCCCTCCACCTCCCAGAAGGTCACTGGGCAGGTCAGGGTCAGAGTCAGTGGCCGCCGCCCCCGGCGCCGCCGCCGCCGCCGGCGCAGGCGACGCCCGAGCAGCAGCAGCAGTTCTGGGAGCACTACAACGCCATGTCCGCGTACATGGCCGAGATGAACGCCGCACTGGGCTACCCGCCCGGGTATCAGCAGGGGTACGCGCAGGGTTACCCGCAGGGGTACCCGCAGGGATACTACTACGGCTACGACCCGTACTGGGCAGGGGCCCCCGCCTCGTACCACAGCGACTCGGAGGACTGCTCCGGGTACTCGTCCACGGACGAGATGACGTACTACGGAGCCCGCTTCAGGGCGCACCAGCACCAGCTGCACCCACACGACGCGTGGTACGGCTGGCCACCCTACCCGCCGCCGCCGCAGCCACCCGCCGCCACCACGCCGAGCATCACCGTGACGACGCCCAACACCGAGGAGGAGGAAGAGCAGCCCAACAGGACGACCCTAGCGGACGTTGAGGAGGACAGCGACGAGGACGACTCGGACACGGACACCGAGGTGGAGGACCGCGTCGACGCCTCTCCGCTGAGGGCCGGCCGCTCCGTGCCCAACGTGCACGTCTACAGCGACAGCGGCGACGCGGGCAACGAGGAGTCCAGCGACCAGGACAATGATGACGATGACGACGAGGATGACGACGAGTACGACGGCGAGGACGACGTGGTGGTGCCTCCGTCAGCAGACGCGTACCCCCACCAGCTCAGCGTGATCCCGGAGGAGAGCGACGTGAGCGACGCGGAAAGCGTGCGCAGGCGACAGGAGAGCGAGCACTCCACGGCCACGGCGGTGAGCGGAGACGACTCGGAGGACGACGACGGCGGGGAGTCCACGACGGTCACGGTGCGGCTGCCGCTCAAGCTGCATTTCACGAGGTCCGCCAACGACGAGGAGGTCACGACTGTCATCGTCGGGGAGGTCCGCCGGTCTTCGACGAGCTCCAACGAATCTTCGCCGAGGTCCGAGAAGTCCAGGCCGACCTTCCCGGCGGTTGTCCCGCCATCGGAGCCTAGTGGGGACGTGGCCGCGCCCGTGACCGCCAGGCAGGACGACGCCGTCAGCCCACCGGCCTCGTCGTCCGCGAGCAGCACGCCGTCGGACGTCAGCGTCTGCTTCCCCTTCCGGAGCCGCCGGCCGTCCAGCACCTCGGCCTGGATGTCGGAGGAGGACGACAGAGCGAAGAGCACCGAGGAGAGCGACTGCCACTGGGAGGACGACTCGAGCAGCACGAGCGTGCAGACGGTGCGGGGCGGGCCGGCGGCCAGGGGCGAGGCCCACAGCGGCAGCGAGGTCAGCGACTGCCACTGGGAGGACGACGCGAGCGGCGCCAGGACGGTCCGCGCGTCGGCGGGTGTCGACGAGCGCGACAATGAGGACGCCGATGAGGACGACGGTATCGCTCAGGGCAACGGCGAGGAAATGATCGCCGCCGCGGAAGACGTCGAGGAAGACTTCGAGTGGGGCGAGGACGGCACGATACAGACGGTGAAGACCCGCCGGCAGCCCAGCGAAGAGGAAGAAGAAGAGCGGAGAGAAGAACACACTCGAGAGCCCAGCACGGAAAGGCTTCATCCTGCAAAGGCCGACTCTTCCATGCAGGATAGTGACGAAGACGACGACATCAGTTCGTCCAGCTCGAGTAGTAGCAGCAGTAGCAGCAGCAGTAGTAGCACCAGCAGCAGCACCAGCAGCAGTGGCAGCAGCGTGAGCAGGAGCGGCAGGAGCAGCAGGACCAGCAAGAGCTCCCGCAGCGCCGCCAGCGGCCGGGGCAGCCGACTGGAGGAAGAGGCGGCCGAGGTCGCGGTCGAGGTCGCCGCAGAGGAGAGCGCGGAGGAGGCGGAGGACGCCGAAGACACGGACGCCGAGGAGCTCGAGAGCGACTCTCGACCGGAGGAAGTGGAGCGCTGCGTGCGCGGGCTCATCGCCAACCTGAGCGCCGAGCACCCCGCCGGCCACCTGCTCCTGCAGCCGCCCAAGGCCACCGCCAGGCAGGACGAGGACGCCGCCGACGACAAGACGGAGCACAGCGAGGAGGAGGACGACTCTGGCGTCACGTCCGACATGAGCAGGCACATCTCGGAGGCGGAGAACGACGACACGGCAACGGACAACACGACGGCGAGCACGCCCAGGACGCCGAGGAAAATCAGCAAGTACCAGCGCGCACAGACACATTCCCGACTCTTCAGGCTCCTCCAGGACGAGAGCCTCAGCGGCCCCGCCCCCGCGGCCGCGGCGCCCGAGCTGCCTGCTTCCCAGCTCGAAGTTGTGGGCAGCCTCGCCGGCCGCAAGGAGTGCCTCACCCTGCCGCTGCGCCCTTGCGGCCCCGCCCTCAGCGACCCCGACAGCCTGTCATCCTCGTCCGGGATCACGTCGCCGTCGTCGCCCACCGTCACCGACCGCCTGGTGCGCGAGCTCGTGCAGACGCTGCTGCAGCGCAAGAAGGGCCGCCGCCTGCGCAAGGTGCCCATGGCCAAGCTGCAGGCGGCCGCGTTGCGCATCCTGCAGGAGGACATGGACCCCTACGACACCTCCACGTCGGAGGAGGGCTGCGTCCTGCGCGCGCCCGCCCGGGCGCCCCTGAGGGTGCCTCCCGTCGAGCAGCACGGCGTCTACGGCGACAACCTCTCCGAGTACACGAGCTACTACGAGACCTGGGGCTCGTACGGCGGCGACGCGCACCCGGACATGGCCGACTACGACATCATGCCCTCCAGGGCCTTCAAGCTCTTCGACCAGCACGCGCGCCCGTCGGGCTTCAGCATGGGCGTGATCGAGGGCCTCCGCGCCAAGTGCCCGCGCGTCAAGAGCGGCCGCGACCTCCACAGAAGCCTGGCCGGCCAGCCCGACGGCGGCGGCGTCGTCGCCGAGGGCGACACGGCGGACTCTGACGCGGGCAGCCCCGACGACCCCGACCCCCCCACCACCCCCCACACCCTCTCCTCCTGCACCGTGGCCTCATTTCGAGAGGACAACTGATCTGATGAGATGACAGTCGTGAGGGAATCCTTCCAATCGGGAAATTTTGAGGGCCTTAAGTCCTAAGCGAAGTCACATAGAAAGGTTTGCTCAAGAAAGGTATTGGGAACAATACTACTTTTTGGTTGAAACATTTTCTTTCCTTTTTCTCTCTTTTTATTTTATGTGAGTTTGACATTGCGCTTATCGATTTGGCAAGTCTTAGTTGATATACCAATACAGTAACAGTTTTGTTATGAACTAAATAATTTACTTTTCAAACAATGTTTCAGACTAAATGATCCTCTCTTCACAGTAAACTTCACCTTTCAAGTATACTTTTCTGTCTCAAGTCTTGTGTTCTTAAAGCCGTTTTGTAGCCCTTTTATGTTTCTTGCGCAAATTTTTATTTTTTCCATGGCAGTAAAATATTTTTTCAATCTTCGTTTGACCGCATTCTTTGTCAGTGCGAAACATCTTGTAAATGTTTCAGTCTCAGCTTACAGGGTTACATGTTTTTGTTTTTGTTTATGTAATCGCGCGGGCCCACCTTTTTGTCGTTTGATTTTTGACGAATGAATTTCAAATCGCCACTAATGAAAAGGAAACGACGAACTGATGTGTGCCGTGACAAATAAATACAACTAATACGTAACCATAACGTCTTTGTATGTCCCATTAAATGTTCAGACTGCAAATCAGTAAGGTGCAGTTTGCTTCTTTGAAGAGAAATTAATTTACCACTTTTGAAAATTTTTGCTTAACTGAGTTCACGATTATTGCCTGCCTCGACTTGTTTTGAGAATGCTGTCCTCTAACGAAAGGGAATATGTGGTCTGGATACAGAGAGTGAAAATGATGTAGGGTGCTGCATGGTACGGCGTGGAACCGCTTGTCGCGTGTGATGCTTTTGCTGTAATTGAAAGAGTATTGGCCGGTATTGGCACTGAAATTTATCTATCTACATACATATATATCCATTGCAAATGATTAAGCGATATGTTTGACTGAATTTCAGAACTATCTGATTAAAAGATGTAGAGTTTCTTTTTTTTTGTTTTCAAAAAACAAATTTTTTTTGGCTAAAACAGTTTTTAACAATCACTTCTCTTAAGCTAAAGCGACAGGTAAAACCTGAAGAAATATTTAAAAAGTTTGTATCAGGCCGAGATTGTTACTAGTTTGTGTTTGTTACTAACTAAGGCCTGATCTGGGGAAGCGTGGGGGACGAGGCGAAGTGACACCCGATACTTCGTGGTGGTGTTGGACGCTCGCCGGGCAGGGCGGGCCACCAGCTTCACCCGGCTGCTGGGCGGGCTGGCCTACCCACCGCGTTGCAGGCGCTATTGACTGCGATCCTGAAGCCAGTCGCTCGTCAAAACTGATATTATTGCTGCGTTGCAGCTCAACAACTCTGTCGCCCAACGCCACCACGCCACCTGGGTGCGCTTCATGTTCAGGCCACTCAACTTGCTTTTGCACGCACAGTTCTTAACCATCCAGTGGATCGCTAGCAGATCGGCTACAGAAAGTAACCTTTGAAAAAAAATAACATTTTCATTTCTATGGAGTGACTGACAGTGTGAATGGTGATGAAATAACCTTGCTCGAACCTAATTAAAAGTCAGTTTTGCTTCAATAATTATAATTCCCACAACTGAAAAAAATATTTTATCTTTTGCCCAGATTTGAAACAACTTGAAAAATTAAAACTGACTTTGAGAACTTACCGTTCGATATGTTTTAAGATCAGTTGAAATGAAATGTTGTTGATTTATACTTGTAGTAAAACCAAACACAATTTAAATCACATATCGCAAATACTTCTGCATTATTGATTTTTATTTATTTTTTGCCTTCTGTTTCAGACCCGGCCGACACTTCAGACTTGTAAGCGGATAAAATAACTACTAAAGATTTGAGTAAGTTTTGTGAATTGATCAGACTAAACAGAAGAACCTATATAAATACTCTGATTTGATATTTTTACTATAGTAGAAAGAAATCATTGCTGTCTCCAAAATACAAATTGTCCAAAAACATCTCAATTATTTGTTGTACATGTAGGACAGCTTAGACAAACACACTTTGAATTAGCATGCATACACTGCAATAGTTTTTATGTGACTGCAAAAGCT